CGCCGCCCCATCCTGTCTCCCCGCAGCCTTTTCATCCTTTCTAACGAGACCGTCAACATCTGGAGCCACCTGCTCGGCTTCATCCTCTTCTTCACGCTGGGTATCTACGACCTGACTGCCGTGCTGCCGGCGGCCGGTGCCTCCCGGGAAGACTTTGTCATCTGTTCCATCTGCCTCTTCTGCTTCCAGGTGGGGGCCGCGCTGGGGAGCACCTGCCTGGAGGAGAGCATGAAGTGCCGTCAGGGAGCTCTGTTTGAGCTGCCCAGTATATAGAATAAACTGGGGAGACCTGAACAGAGCTGGCACAGAGGAGAAAGCAACTGTGACTAACAGCTAAATTGTCCAAGGCCAAGTAGGCCAACCGTGACCTGGCTTGTATCAGAAATAGCATTGCCAGTGATCATCCCCCTGGACTGGGCACTAGGAAGACCAGCCCTTGAATCCCAGGTTCAGTTTTGGGCTACTTCCTCCAAGAAGGACCTTGAGGGGCTGGAGGGTGTCCAGAGGAAGGCAAAGAAAATGCAGAAGGGTCTAGAGCACAAGTCTGGTGAGGAGTGGCTAAGGGATGTGGAGTTATTGAGCCTGGAGCAAAGGAGGCTTAGGGGAGACTTTTGGCTCTCCATAACTCCCTTGAAGAAGGTTGGAGCCAGGTGGGGATCAGGTTCTTCTCCCAGGGAACAAGCAACAGGACAAGAGTGGACAGCCTCAGGTTGTGCTGGGGGGGGGTGTTGAAGTTGGATATTGGAAATAATTTCTTGCCTCAAGGGTTGTCCACCCTAGCCCAGGCTACCCAGGGCAGTGGTGGAGTCCCCATCCCTGGAGGAGTTTCAAAGCTGTGGAGATGGGGTGGTGAGGGACATGGTTTAGAGGTGATTTGGCAGTGTTGGGTTAACAATTACATTAGTTTCTGTGGATTTCTGGCAGGAATCCTGACAGCCCACACCACCTTCCGCTGCAGGACCTGTGGGGAGTCAGTTGTGCACCCTAAGCCTTGGTGTTTCAGCTCAGTATGCTGCCTGCTAATTTTGAAGAGATTAATGAGTCTTTGTTTGACCATTTGTGTAGGTCTGTATGCTTTGCTCAGTAGGATATCATCTGTTCTGTTGTCACCGCTCAGAGAAGACCAGCCGACGGTGGATGGCGTTGGATTATGCAGGAATTTCCATTGGTATCCTGGGCTGCTATGTGTCCGGCGTGTTTTATGCATTCTATTGCAGTAACGTAAGTTTGAAGCACTTATTCTGGTAACACTGGGTTCCTGTGGTCTCGCTGTCGGCGTTCCCATGCTGTAGGAAGGGGTTCACTGCAGGTGTACAAATAGAACATTAGTCAGGAGACAGAGGTGGAAACTGAAACAAGGTCCTTCCGACACCAGCAGAACTCTGCTTGCTGCAGTGATAGGCAGACTGAGGTTTTCCTTTCAAGCTGTCCATCACACATGCCTCAAGAAAATACTTGCATTTATACAAAGGCAGGGTAGGCTTTACAGGCCCCACCTTTGTCAGGCTCGTGAGGCCTCCAACCCCATTGTTTGCATCTGCAGCAGTGGCAGGAGGTCAGATGTACCCTTACTTTTAGTAATGTAAATTTTCAAGCCACAGTTTACTTTTACACCTGATGGGAAAAGCCACAAACTTGCTTTTGTTTTTTCTTCCCCAGTACTGGCGTCAGGTATATTTAATCACTGTGCTGGCAATGATCTTGGCAGTATTTTTTGCTCAGATTCATCCCAGTTACCTCACGCAGCAGTGGCACAGACTGCGCTCCATCATCTTTTGCTCAGTGTCCGGATATGGAATTATTCCCACCATCCACTGGGTTTGGCTCAATGGTGGCATCAGTGCATCCATTGTACAGGTAAAAGAAAAAAAAAAGGGGAAATTAGATTCTCTGTCGCTTTTCACTTGCCATCTTTCTTCAGTCCTCTTACTGTTGGGGAAATGAGGGGGAAGCAGAAGGAATTAAAATCTCTTTAAGCACAGAAATCTTTCAGACGATAGGATCTAAAAGCAAACAGTTAGGCATGTATTGAAAAGCAGTAAGCAGGTTGAGTAGGTAAATCTATTTTGCTGATGTAGAACTACAGCATGAGGAGGCAAACTGGTCGGGTGTGATGCGTGTCCCTGCCTGTGGGTCAGAGATGTCTGTGTGCATGGGCGAGGGGTGGGAACACCACAGGAAGCTGTTTCCCAGGCTGCTCTGTGCTTCAGGCTGGCAGCCTCCACTGCCCCAGAGGAGAGAATGGAACCAGGAGACACTGATGGGATGATTATCTGCTTCCTCTTCAGTTCCCTGGGTTGGCAGCAGAAATTGGTATTTGCCTGGTCAGCCCTCCGTCTCTTGCACAACACTCATTTAACATCCCTACAAAGCGACTGAACTCTTCCTGTTCTTGTTTTATGGCCCATAATTGTGCTCTGAAGCACAAGCAGAACAGCACAGCTCAAGACAGTAAAGTGTGCCCCAGTGTGAACTCCCTGCAAAGCACTGCAGTGACCAGAGCACATCACTGTGTGGAAGAAAACGTTTCCTCTCACAGTGAGCAGTTGTAGACTGGTCTTGCTGGAGGATGTGTCACCTGGGGTTGCCAGGTTTAGCCCAGGGCCGCTGTGGAACAGCAACACATGAATATATGTAGTTGTTAGGGCACTAAACACTGGCCCTGTCCTGTTTAGTCATGGACCTCAGGGCTCAACAGTAGTTGTCCTCTTATGTCTTCCCCCGTTTAGTGTCTCCTGGTACAGCAGAAAGGGAGGCACGGTACACATTTTGTGTCCAGACTACAGAAAAATGCTCCTCTTCTGGTAACAAAAGTTTCTGTTAAAGAAAGCAAAAAATAAACTCGTGAATGGGCTGCTTGATTACTTACCATCCAGTGTGTAGCACTCCTGTGGACTTGGGTTCTAGCAGCTGCAATTCCAGACAGTCAGTGAGGGTTTGCACAGAAGTGTCACTTACCCCAGCCATTCTGTGTGAGGTCAGTGTGTTGGAAGATGTCCTCTCACTAACAATTTCACAACTGCTGCAGGCTGTACAGAAACACTGAGTGGCTTGTGCAGTGAAGCAGAGAAGTCATGATAAAACAAGTTTCTTCCCATTCATATTTTCCCAAAGTGGCATTTCCTTCCCCATGGGATTTTGTTCATTGGTAATAGAGGAGGTGAAGCAAGGATCACTTTTGTCATGTCTTTTTCTTTTTTTATTTTTTTCCCTTATTGAGGACTTTTGTTTTTTTTTTTCCTATTTTTACCTTTTAACAGAATAGGAGGGCTTCCTTTTCTTTTGCAGGAGTTTGCTCCACGTGTAGTTGTCATGTACTTCATCGCTGCTGTAGCTTTTCTCTTCTATATTTCCAAAGTTCCAGAAAGATACTTCCCAGGTAGGAAACTCTCTTCTGGGTTTTTTTTTTTTCCTGCAGTTAAGCTCCCTGCGGTGTCACAGTCCTTGCTGTGAGTCCTGAACTTCCTGTGAGAGAACAGGTTGTCCATGTTCCAAGTGAAGTATTCTCATATAAATGTTACATGTATTGCATCAAAAGGTGGCAGACAACTTCCCATTGAGTTCATTAAAGAACTTTTACTGCCTCTCTGTGAGCAGAGCATAGAGTTGAGCTTTGGAGGAGACCATCTGCTAATTGCACGAGCTGAATTTGACAACTTCGCCACTTGCCATATTTCTTTCCCCCAGGCCAGCTGAACTACCTCGGATCGAGTCACCAAGTCTGGCACATCCTTGCAGTGGTGATGCTTTACTGGTGGCATCAGTCCACCGTGTACATCATGCAGTACCGGCACAGCAAGCCCTGTCCTGAGTACAGCCCAGATTTGTGAGAGAAGGTACAGCACTTTATGTGTCATGCTGTCATTCCTACTGTCATGCTTGTAGGAGTAGGGTACTCAAACCAGTATAGGGTTAAACTGTCCTGGTTTTAACTTGTCATGAGTTTCAGTCAACCTCCTTAATTAGCTTCCACAAAGAAAATGCTGATTGATGCAATATTTGCTGTAAATAAAACGTGGATGTTCGGTGCTTCACTCCTGTCTGCTGCTGCCTTGCACGAGGCTGCAGTACCCTTGAGCTGAGGCTTAGAGCAGGTGTGAAGATTAGAGCACATCTGCAAGATCCCTTTCAGCTCTGATTTGCAGTTGCAATAAGCTTTAAGCCATCATTAGTATTTGTTCCAAATAAGTCTTTTTCTTAGGCTTCTGTTAGGTTTTCAGCCTGCTAAGCTAGGATCTGCATTTGGTGGAAATTAGGTAAGAGTTGATAACTTGGTATGCATATTAAGTGACTAAATTTCTTCCCCCATTGTACTTCAGAGGCCCTGGAATGAAATTTCTGGCTTTGAGGGTCTGGATCTTACCCAATGAGCTGAGCTATGAAGTTAAGCATTAAGGCTGTTCCTTTTCTGACTTCTGGACTACTAGCTGCTTGCTGGGAAAAATGCTTTTGAAAAAAACCAACAGCATTTGCTGGGAGCTGACAGACAGAGCCTGGTCTGCAATCCAGTACACAACAGGTCCTCCTGGAGAGGGACACGGGAGAGGTGGGCTCTGAAACTCAGCATTCTGACGGCAGCAATATTTTTTTGCTTGGTCAACACGAACAACAGAAGTAACTGCCCTTGCTGAGTTAACAGGCCCATAGTCCAGGTTTTCAGGTTTTATTCAACTGCATAATTTAGAAACTGCTCCTGACTGGGTGCTTGTGAAAGCTCAGTAGCTATGGAGCCTGCTTTTGGATCTGATCACAGCGATACAGCGCGTTGCATTCTTCAGAGTCTGCCTGATGCCCTTATACTTCAGCGTCAGCACAGTAACATGTAAAATCACATCCAGTGGACCCCTGTAAACTCTTCTGGACGAGTTCTTTTCCTTTTTGTGGAAGATAGGATCACATCCTCCACCATGGCTACAACTTCAGCTCAGAACTTAAAACTGTCTCCCTCAACATGGGTAGTGCCAGTACTTCAAGAAATTTCTCTAAGTCCTCTCAGCAATTTAGAATCAGTATTCTAAAATATTTCAGGAGTAGCACTAAGCCCAAGTGTTCTGTTTTGGTATTATCTTGCAATCAGCAGCATCAATAAGATTTTTACATTACAGTTGTTTAACAGGATGGAACAGCATGCTCTGAGCAGTGAACCTGCTTGGGGAGTCAAATCACTGAACTTTGGCCTTTTAACGTGCTATGTACTAGACTGCAGTTTCAGACTGTTGCTGAGAACGACTTGCCACCATCAGCTTGCAATGGTAAAAAAGTTGCCTTGGGTTTTAAACTCTGTTGTGAAACCATCTCTTTTAAACTCAACAATAGGGAGACACAAATTGTGCAGGTTATTAGGTAGCTGTAGCTGAGCATGATTAAGCTCAATGGGTGCCAGTTTTTCAAACAAGATTGGAATTATTTGGATTTTTGGGTTGGAATCAACATTTTTAAGTGGCTTCTGCCTAGCGGCTGCACTTGTGTTTACAGTTCAGTTGAGCAGTGGTAGCAAATGGTGCTGCTTCACATGGCATTAGCCAGCATTGGCCATTTGGAGATTCCCTGGCTTGCCTCAAGGTGCTGTTGGGACTTAATCCCAAAGGGTTCAAGTTGAGAAACAGAGGTGTGAGAGAATGTGACTGCGTGGGCCTGGCTAGTGTTAGAGAGTGCGAGATACCCCAGCGGCTTCTGCTTTGACTGCAGGCAGAAACCTGGTTGAAGATTTCTGTCTGAGCTGACCTCGCTACACCTCCCCTTGTTAACTGCAGTCCTCTGGTGGGGGCCCAGCATCTTCTTTCCCATTTTGTGTTCATCTGACAACAGCTAGCTTAACAGATGCTGATAGGGGCCTTGTAAGAGTTCAGACCAGTTTTCTTACACCTGAGGGCAAGGAGGAGGCGGCACTGCCTTGCAGAAGGCAGAACTTCAGCAGCCACGCACAAAGCTACGTAGCACAGGAGAAGCCCTTAATGAACTACGGCTCTGCCATTGCCTCACCTCTCCCTCAGTGATGTTCAGCTTTGTCAGAGGGAGCGAGGCTGGTTCCCTGCAGTGCCCTCCTCAGAGTGAGTTGGTTGCCTGACAGTGCCCCCAGACTGCTTCTTCCCAGGCCAAACAAGCCCAGCTCACTGAGCCTCTCGCCAGGTGTTCCAAGGACATGTGGAATATGGATAGAAACTCAGCACCGGGCACCTGAGTGCTCATGAAGGTTGGAGAAGGCAGGACACCGACTTTGCTGCTGGGCTGCTGCAGAGTTACTCCAACAGCCTGGGACGTACAGTGGGACTCCAGGATCCAGTAGTGGCAAGAACTGACTTTGCATTTAAGATTGAACTTCTGAACCTTTGAGCCTTTCAGTGTAAACATTTTTTTTTTTTTAAACTTTACAGCCAAGCAAGTTTCAAGTGCACTAATTACTACTACTGAAGCCTGCCAAGGAACCTGCAAGTCTGAAAGCCTTTTTCCAGTGTTATGTGCATAATAGTATCTGAAGAATGTGTTTGTGTTTTGAAAACATACTGACTTTATAGTTCGCTGATGTATCTTTTTTATGTAAACTCTTAACTCCAGCAGTTTTCACTGGATAAGGAAACTGCAAAGCTGTACATTTTTATTACCCTGACAAAATTTATCAAGCTGCATGATGGTCTTCTATGTACATACTGAATCTGTAAATAAATTTCGGTTCATTGGATGTTTACCTGCACTAGCATCATTCCTGCATTTCATAATGAAATGACAGAGGTGGACGAGGAGTTGGAACTCCACTATTCCAGTACTGCGGGTAGTATATTCTACTCCCAGTAGTTAGTGTTCTATGGGTGGTTTTGGAGGAGCTTCTCTAGATGAATCTGCAGATGAGCTCAGCTTTGCAACTCGCTGTCCTTCAGGAAGGCTTTAATGAGTAATACTGAACGTATGGAATTAAAACCAGTAGGGGATCAACATGTTTTTGACAAGCTGGACAAAGGAAGATGATTGGGTAGCAAAACCACATATTTTGAAGTGTTTTTAAAAGAGTGACAGGAGCCTATAGCCACAAAAAGTTATTGGCAGAAGCAGCATTGCTTGTCATGAGTAAATTAAAAAATACTTAATAACACAGCTTTTAAGGAGAGCTGCAAAGTCACTGTTATCACATTGGTTTATTTAACAACTGCAAGTATTCTATGACATACATGAGTTTCACAAAAAAGTTAAAGTTCTCTGTTTAGTGGTACACAAAAAAGCCTTAGAAACTTGAAGTCTAACAAGAAATGGAAGTGTAGTTCAGGAAAGTGCACTGAAAAGCTGAATGCCAGCAATTTAAAAATAGTTTTTATGCTCTTAAATATTAGGTGATGCCTTAGTCACAAATTTAGCTATACACACAACCTCCTTGATCTTCCTTTCAAAATAAGCACTACAGACAAGTAACACAGCAGGCACCTTTTGCACTTATTTTGTCTTTTGCACCTTTCACTCCTGTTTTCTCTCTCAAGTCACATGAAAGCAATTGTGGCTGCTGTGTTACTAAGGACACAGCAACTCCAAGAGATACATGATGTGTGCGAGCATGTGTATATTTTATATATACTTTCCATATATAAAAATACACGATATAGTATAAAAAAACTCCAGATAAATTCTTATTCTCACAGTAGCAAATATATCAACTTTTTTTCACAGTACTTTGTTTTCTAACTGGGAAACCCACAACAATTGGAAGTTATTTCATCCACAGCTGGTACACACGGGTCCTGCACGATGCAGCTCGGCCAAAGCGACTGGGCGCATCTTGGGGCCCTTTGGCAGTCTGCAGAGAAACACGACTGGCTGAGTTTTCTTTCAATGACCACAACCATTAAGGGCTTCTTAGTACCTTTTGACAGACTTGCTCTCTCTAGCAGCTGACTCTAAAAGGCCTGTGATTCAGTCATTTAGCATAGTGGAAGGAAAACTGTAAAAATCGATGGGTATTTTTGGCTGGAAGCTCCTTACCTTGCCCTTACTGTCCTCACAGCCTGTGCACACATGCCCAGGGCAGCAAGGTCTTCACTGTATTTCAGTTAAGGTCACAGCCTGCCCTGTGGCCAGTATCCACATGAGCACCCACACACACCAAGAAAAGGCAAGAGGATATCACGCTCCCTGACAGTACCATGTCTTGTCTCTGTTCAGCAGTGCATCTTAGCTAAAATTAAACCCAGACTTGGGTCTAGTGGTGTATAAACAATAGATACCATGCAAAGTCAACATAGTGAGGCATACTTATCTCTCTTCAGTCCCAAGAAAGGATAAAGTAGTTTTAACTCTAGAAAGAAAAGTTACATTTATGCAAAAACCTGTTTCAGAACTAGAACCAAGTTTATTAAGGCCATCAGAAAGTAAAGAGTGTAAGCCATAATGCACGTGCAGCCAGAGGCATTATGCCAGTTCAAGAGTAACTTGGGTTTACAGTTTACTTTTATCTTCTGTTTCTGTGTAAAACCTCACTTCAGCTTTCCTGTGCTGCAACACAACCACTTTCAGACCCTCTGCCCAAAACCAAACCAACCCCAAGGAACAGGCTAGAAGGAAACCATAGAAAGGCAGGTTCATAAGCACATGCAGAGAGACAAGAGGGGGGGGGGAAAAAAAAAAAAAAAAAAAAAGACAGTTAACCTGAGTATCAGAAAATGCTACAAAACTTGGTGTGCACTTCTTACAGCCTTTGGCACAAAAACCAGGTGAGAACAGTAGTAATAAAGCCTAGGAAATGCCTGTGCAAATAGAGTTGAAACATGTCTACTCACAACCTCCTAAGAGCTTAATTTCTAAGCCTGGAAAAGGCATTCTGAACGAAGCACAGCTCTAGCATTTCACTTGCACCCTGGGAGAAAAACGGAAATGAGGAAAATGAAGGTTACAGAAGTGTACAAATAAGTACGAGCTACTTTCAAATTCCAGGATGAGGGAAAGCAATCTCACCCATGTCCCAGGGAGCTTTCTATCACACTAACCCCTGAAGGAGTCAAGCAACTTGCTTTTAATGTGTTGTTTTTAGCTAACATTGGGAGGGATCCACCTCCCAGTCCCACAGATCTGAGGACAACTGTATAACTAGCAAGAGACTTGTGGGAAAAAAAGCACAACCCTAAATATTTCACTTGACCTCCTTGTGAAAAGAGGGGACTTACAACCACATACATTTTTGTCCTCATATATAAGCACCCAATTATCTACTCGTCAGCATCGAGCAGAGCAGGATATGAAGTTAAAGCAGAGGAACCACCTCCTTCCACTCCCACTTGAGGACTGACATGGAAAAAAAGGCTGACACGTGGGGCCGCCCCGAGCAGTACTCGCTCTGCAGAGGCGCGCGCCCGTCCCGCCTGCACGCTGCACGCACTTGTGCAACGCAGTAGGGAAATCTCATCCTCGGGCAGCCTGCTCACGTCACCTTCCCATCCTCTCGCGGCACCGCACGGCTCTGCCGAGCTCCGGCCCTGTGCAGCTGACGTCCCCGAGGCACTGCGCGGCAGGACGGGGGTCCTGCCTGTAAGGCTTTGCGGTGGGAAATGCCGCTGGCTGGCAGGGGAGCCCTTGGCTTCTGCAAGGACCTGCTCCTTACAGCTTCCATCTGGACACCAATCCAGGTTCAGGGAAGTTTCTTCAAACTCAGTGCATTTAGCAAAACTTTCTTATAAAATACACTCAAGTACAATGATGGATTCATCAGAACTTGAAGAACATTAGGTTACAGTCATTTCATAAAATTATCATCATTTCAAAAAAAAAAAAAACAGCTTGGAAAGAACACATTTTCTTTGCCATAACATTCCAAGAAGAAAAGGTGTTTTCAGACATAAACCCCAATTTGCAATCAAATCTGATGGTTGCATCTCACAGTCAACTGTTCAAGTCACTTGAAATACTCCACATGTGCCAAACCATTTTCTCGTGTAAACCAGGTGACCACTGAGTAGTCATCAAAGTGCTGCAAACACTGGCTGCATCCGTGCTGGTTTATTTCCCTGTGCTGAGACTTTTCCTCTCATTAACCGTTATATTCTCTGTATCTTTACATTTGACTCTATACTTCCAGTTTGCTATTTTACATTAATGGCACTTACTGGAAAAAAAAAAAGTAAAAGAAAATTGAACGTTTAGGCACACAAAAATATCATCTGCCTTCTGTCTCTGCACCTGCATAGATGTCTACCAGATCCCAAGCCATAGCTGTGCTATGGAATTCTGGGCCACAGTCCCCTGAGGACTTGGCTGGTTTATTCTGATGATTAATAAAGGTAGTTTTCACCTAGGAAGCAAAGACTCGACTATTTCCAGCAGATAATCCAGATATTAGTACGTTTTGGTTCTCAGGTCTACTGTGACCGAGACATGAAGAACCACTGCAGCTCCATCCACGTACCTGTACGTGTGGAAAACATGCATCACATGATCGCCACCCGCCTCTCTCCCTCCACCTCAGCTTGTCGCAGAGGATTGAAAAGGCAACACCAAAGTGCAGAACGACAACACATTCCAGGGCCAGAGTCAGTGACAGACAGCCATTCATATCTGCTTTCTCCTTCTGCTCTCAGAACCACCTGTCACAACGAAATCACATGCCTTTTTTTTTTTTCCTCTATTTTTCTCCAGAAAAACCCAATAAAAATGTCTTTGTTCTAAATTTCATTGTGCAAGCTGGCCACTCCTTCTCGAACTTGAACAAACTATACAACCCATGTCTCTATCAATTCAACCAGATAAATTACTCCATTAATTAAAACCTCAATCAAGTAACTCAGAGAAGTGGAGGAGGGAAGCCCTTTGGAAGCACCTACGGTTTGGAAGGAAATGGAGCTGCTCCAAACGGATCTAACTCCAGCGCCTGTTGCTGCTGGCTCTGTGCGCTCTGCACAACCAGCTCTGTGAAGGGTACTGCACCAAAGTCATCCGTTTTCAGCCCATCCCCACCATGAAGGGCTCCGTGCAGGGAGCTCTGCCACACTCTACCAGCCACCAGCACTGAGCCATGATCCCCACGGCTGTCACCGAACCCTTGATGCTGGGGATGCCGCATCAAGTCTGGTGGGTGGAAGGGTTTGGCTCCGAAAGGATCCAGCAGACTCTCATCTGCCTGCAGGGGGTTGGTTCGATCTTTGCTGTCCGTCAATGCCACGCTTATGTTCTCTTTGGAATCCGAGATGGTCAGGAACTCGTTGCTACTCTGCGAGTCCCTGCGGCCTGCCTTCTTGTGCCTGCGGGCTCTCTCTGGGGTGCGGTAGCTGGGTTTCAGTGACTTCTTCGTGGTGGTCGGGGTGCCATGGTGACGCTTACCATTGCTCTTTGAAACCTCCTGTTTCACGCGCCTTTGGCGGGAAGAAAGTTTCTGCAGGTTACGCTGCTGCTTCATCTTCTGCTGCTGCTGACTCCCTGTGATCTCTTCAAAAGGAACCAGCCCAAACAGGTCCTCTTTGCTCCCACCGGTCTTGGGGAGAAGGGAAGGCTGAAATGGGGTGCAGCCAAAAATATCAACACTCCGTGGAGAGGTGGGGGAAAGCAAAGGCTCAGTTCCCGCCAGCTGGCCATCTTGCTGAGGTACCTTTTTGCTGAAGGGGGCTTTTGTGAAAACATCAAAGTCATCCTGCTCTTGATTCAGGCTGGGAAAAGCCATCTGAGGAGAGACATCTTTGTCCATCTTCTCCCTTGCCTGATGTTGCAGCGTAAAAAAGGGCACTGCCCCAAACACATCAAATTCTTGCCCAGGGTTCACCTTGATTACAGTACTTGACATCTCAGACAAGGCCGTCTGCATTGAACTGGGTTCTTTCATTTCACCACCACCCACACTATCTCTGAACCTACTGCTCAGAAGTTCCACAGATTTATGCTTAGTACGATCAGTATCAGAGTCAGAACTTTGCTTCTCTTCTTCCTCTTCCTCCACGTCTTCCTCAGAGTCCATAAGGAGAGGTCGGTGGCCTAAATTCTCCAGTTCTGTATCATTATCATCATTAAAGTCTCCATTCTCTCCTTGCAAGACTTCTTCATCCTCCTGTTCTTCTTCTTCTTCACTGCTCTTGGGAGAAGGAGGATCAGATTCAAAGTCACTCTCTGATTCATCGCCTCCTTTTGTCACTTGTCCCTCTACAGTCTTCCTCCCTTGACGAGGATCTCTAAAAGCGTGGCTTAGTTTTCCAGCCTTGGTTGGGGTCCCTAAGTTATTTCCTTGATTGCTAGCCAAGTTATCCACTTGTTTTCCAGGGGAACCTGCAGATCCGAAGAAAAATACAAAACAAAACTTGAAATACACTCTTCAAGTCAACACTTATTCCACACACACCAATGCCACACATACCAAGAGCTGATACAAACCTGTATTTTGTACTCATTATTGAGGGAAATGAGCTAAAATAAGATCTACTACTTCAAGCAACACTCAAAATTTATTAAGAGTCAGACCTTCAAGCACAAGAGCTCTAGAAATACACCACCAGTAGTTTTGGGGCACAGAGGAGGAACCAAGGGACACAAGTGATCTCCAGAGCCAGCATTCAAACACTCATTACACAGCCTTTCCTCTCCAAGGAAACAGGAACCAGTGTGCCTGAAAGATATTTTTCTTTAAGACACTTTTCTTCTATTTCTTGAAGTGCTTCTGCTTGGATAGTCTGCTATGACAAGCTTGTTACTCCAGTCATGAAAACAGTCAGCATAGGCAAAAAAAAAAAAAAAGGCATTGAGCAATTTCACATAATTCACGTGAGATCTCACCACTTAACAGCAGCCACGCTCGTCAGAGGGCTCAGCTCTGCTGGCCTACCAACAAAGACAACAGTCCCTACAGGGAGATCACAAGGTAACTGGCCCATGTAACTATATGGAAATAGGGATGCAGGGACAAGATCTTTCCAACATGTGCTTTGAAACATTCCCTGAAGAAAAACAACGGCTCTGAAGAAAAACATCTTTGGCCCTAACCCAGTTTGTGACCCTCTCCAATTTAGACTAGAATTTTAAGTGCTACAAGAAAAGTTTCCTCCTTTTTAAAAGGAATCAATAGCCAATTTGTTCATCCAGCAGCCCTATTATTCTTTTGCAATTACACTTAACAATAAAAATTCTGCAGCAATATATTTTATATATGGATTTAAAAATGAGATGACCAGAATGACCAAAAAAAAAAAAAAAATTAAAAAAAAAATCAGGTGATTGGGGCTTTGAGCCATTTCCTCTTTGCTTCTGGTGTCAGAAGCACCATCTTTGCTTCTTATCTACTGTAATTTTAAATACTACGTATTTGCTTTACCCACTAAATTAGTGTCCGGATTATTTGGCTGCTTACTTTAGATTTCCCAACGGTACAGCCTTTGCACTGCTCCATATAACCCTCTATCTTCTAAATCATGCTGTTTCCAATATTTGCTGAAACACCACTGTTAGCATAAACGCAATTAGATTTAAAAGAATAAAAAGCAAATATTTCTAGGTTAGATACCTTACTTATACATTAAAAAAACCCACACCTTTTATGTATGCCAATGACCATGCTTTTACCCTCCCAAGGAATGACTATACCTCTGTACGTAATTTCAGCATCCAGAAATCCATTTATTAAGTTTTTTGGTTTTTTTAAGACAAGAAATGAACCACAGTATCTCATCTACCTGACATCCCCAAAGGTTTAAATATTATTTGTTAATTGCTGCCACAGTCATTGGAAAACAAACTGCAAAAGGACATGGACAAGAAAAACAAACAAACAAAACCCTAACACAACAGCTGTGAACTTGTCAAAAAAGTGATTTAAGCCACACAATGCTCAGCTCTCAGAAGTAGCTCTCTAGACAGAGCATGCACCAAACAGGACTTAACAACGCAAGGCAAATAAAGTGGTTTCCCAAATGATATCTAAGGTGTCAGCACTAGCACACCAGCCTTTCCAGCATCTCTTCCCTTTCTAAACAAAAGTAAGAACGAAGCAGCACACAGGGTAAGAAAGCTTGAGCCTGCATATTTGTAAACATCTGTCCCTGCACACAAGAAACATTCTCTGAAATATCTCCATTCCAAGGCCACCCAAAGATTGCAGCAAGCATGTTTATTTTTGCCAGCCATAACATCACCACAGCGACAGGCAATTAACTGCCTATTAGCTCCTCAGCTTCAAACCCCTCCTTTCACTACAAATGGTTTCTGAACATGGTTTCTCAATTCCTCGCTCTTCAGCTCTGACATTCGTCCTTCTTCACCACCTCCCCACCTGTTACAAGTATTACTTCTTTAGCACAGCAGGAAATTTATGCTCCTGTATTTTGTACAGATTCAAAATCACCAAAAATGCAGTTAATTTTGCAGTGATTAGAAACTCACAAGCTACAGTTAACAGCTCCATATTCAAATTTCAAACCCCTACACAAACAACTTAAGAAGAAAGGAAGGGGTACACATCAGATGACGCTGGGAACGGCAACTGCTTCTGCAACACTTTTTAAGAAAGCACTTTTATTTCTGAAGTATTTTCAAGAGTGCTCTTCACTGTTCCCACATTTGAATTTTTCAGGAATCAGGAAGGACTTAGTTTTATCCTGAAGTTCTGTGCTCAGGCCTTGTAAACATACAGAGCCATCTGCTCCAAGCAGGTTATTAGTTCCAGGAACAAGTCTTAAACACTGTGGTCTAACACAGTCAGCCTTCATGGAAGAAGCAACCGCTACACACACCTTCTCATCTGCAGTGTCTCCAGTTTAGTCCCATGAAGAGGGAGAAAAATGCAGCACGCTGGTGTCAAAACCGAACTAACCAACCAAAAAAAAAAACCCTCCATAGAACTATTGGTTTTAAACTTACAATAGGAATGTTTTATTTTTCTTGATTACAGTCCTCCCTCTTCCACTCCTGAAGAAAAGGGCATCAAGCTAACTAAATAAAAAGAGCACTACAAATAGAAATTTAATGTCCCAAAAGGGAAAATTCCCTGGTAAATAACAATTTAATGCTCTGGCCAAACAGATTTCCAAAATAAAGCATTCTGTTATGTAGATTTCGTGCAATCTTCTCAACATGAACTGCTGCAGGGACCACTCAGATATATAGTTATAAAAAGATACCACAAAATATTGAGTAACATCTGTTTGTAATGCACTGTTCAGATTACTACACTTCTAATCAGGTTTGCATCTTTTAGGAGACAATTGTCCTTTGCTCAAATGCAAGCCAGGTGGAACATCTTTAATCGTATAAGAAGATCCCAATCTTCAAGGAAATTTTCTGATGTTCTTTTCCGAGACATCCGATTGTAAGAGGATGAATTCCCTCTAACAACTGCAGTAATTACATGCCTTCTGCTGGTTCATCATTTTAGGGTATTGCGGGGGTGGCAAGAGTGGGGCATAAGGGCTTTAAGCTTTCTTTGAATTGGTAACATACTGCCACCATCATTTCAGAACAATTTGCCACATGTCAGGCCCAAGGATTACCAGCACGCTGCAACTAAATCCACACTACTTGTTTGACAACAACCAGAGCAGCAGCTGCTGACTACTGTAATGAGGATTTACATTCTTACCACCTTTATTTTCAAGAAGAAAATAGAAGTGGGGGAACAAAACACCTCAGCCTGGCATCTATTGCTTAGATGTGCTTTCAAATACCTAGTCTACAGGTTGAAGTGTGTTATAAAAAAGGTGAAAGGTGACTGACTGCTCGTAAGATTTTAAAAAAAAAAATAAAAAATCAGGCAAGCATTTTCAAGAGAACAAGGACACCACTGGCACAGCCCACACATATAATTGATTCCTGTGATGTGTGAGTAAATTGAAGTTGCTTTGAGAGTGTCATCTAGAAAAACTGATGTCTAAATCTTATCTTGACACAGGGAAAGATCCTGAAACTACCTTCAGCAATACCTGAAACCACAGCTAAGGGAAGGTTATGGAATAACACAAACAGTATTTTGAGTGAGCACAAATATTGATAGGAACTTATTTTAATTGTCACGTTACCTAAATCTGGAACACTGTACAAGAGCCACACCAAGTTGCGGGTCCAGGCATCTTTTAATAAATAATTCAAGAAGATCCACTGCTGTAGAAACATGGAGTGAAGACATGAGCTGTTTTAGTGTTGTAGAGCAAGCTGGCTCAAGTCTTTTTGTTCATCCTGTTCTCATGTTTGTAATTCCTTACTGAACTGCACTGAGTGGTGTTTCACTTGAAGCTCCAGACTGCACCATAGTCCCAGGGCTCCAAATCTGTGGTACAGAAACCTGCAGTGCTATGAAACCCTGTTAGAAGCAGTATACCCAAAAGTAACCAAATGAATAGCCATCTCTTACATTTCTTCATGCCAGAAAAATGTCCTCCTGTGCTGTAACAGGGTGAATGCTAATAATGGGCTGCTGCAGCAGAGTCCTTTCACGGACGCCTTGTGTCCAAGACTCCAGCCCGTTTCCACACAACTGCTCTCTGGCTCGCAGCTGGATGGTTTTCTGCCAGATCCACCCAGCTGTGATGAGTGAGATACACATTACACCACAAAATTGCTCTTATTCCAAGACAGACACCTACAGTGATCACTTACAGGCTCACCCAAGTCTTCGAGTGCAGGAAGGCTGAAGTCAAAAGGAAGCCGTGACAGAACTAAACTTGCTTCCATCCCCAGTCTCCACACATGCAATGACTGGGAGTGGGTCATCTATGTACGTTGAAAAAAAAAACGAGCAGTGACTTGGTGAAAAAGCACCATGTGTACAGCACACAAGATGAGTTTTACAGACATTCAGTAGAACTGTTAAACAGATGACCTGAACTGCTTCAGGTCAGGACTTAGAAGAAATACCAGACAAGGTTTCCCAACATGTCCACCTCAGTGCATCGTTCTGAGAGTTACTTCAAATATTTTATTAATTCTCTGAATTCCAGTATTAAGCTGCAGGAAGCATAAGGCAATCTAGCCCAGTTTAATCCCAAAAAGAATTAGTGTAAACAAACAAAAGATGGCAAAAGGCCACTGAGCACAACTCAACTGTGATCTGAACTATATTCATGACATGTTCTTCTTACAATCTGAAGACAGTGGGAAATATGCCTCTTCTGAGCTTCTGAAACACTCAACTTGATTTTGACAAAGCATGTTACAACACAGGCTGGTTAACATGCACTTGAATCAAAGGTTCCATTCCAAAAAGCTGCCCACAGGAGCCAATTTTTCCACTGTCACCAGCCAGCGTTTTCAGGTATTCAAGACCCAGAATCTGTTTTCTGTATGTTAGGTGCTGTCCTTTTCAGAAAAGGTTTGCAATGCTAGCTTTGTCTCCATCAGATGGAGCACTGAAATTCTTTTTCAAGTCACTTTGCTTTTCCAGCCATCTCAAGTTCTAAGCCATTATTATTTTCCACAATTAGGCATAAAATAGTGTGCATAGCAATTTTACATGTGAAATACCTTTAACAGGATACACTCCAAGTGTGAGTAACACGAAGTGCTTTTACTCTGTTTTCCCATCAACTCTACTAAGAGGAACCCAGTAAGATGTTGGTTCATTTCACACCCTGACTTGCATGTTAAGTGACACACATGTGGTTGTTGGACCTCCATTCCCCACTCTGGAAGAATGAGCACAGAAGCTCTGATGAATAAGCAGCCTTCATCCATTCAGTTCGAGGTTGTCCTTCCTGGTGATCCTTGACAGCAGTGGCGGCCTGAAACACAGTCTCAGCTCCCTGGGGAAAATCCCAAGGGCTCATAACTCACAAGAACCCTTGGTCCTTTCCAGTGATGAAGAAAGGTTTCAAATTTCAACTTCTGCATCTTCCTTGCATCTCTTTCCCAGACACAAATGCCATCAGGTATGTTCACACATTTTGTTTGACTACCAGTACTTTATGTTAAGTCAAAAGATGATACAAGATCTTCAGCTTTTTGCTGCCATCTCACATCAGACCACAGAAATTAGTTCAGTATTTAGTCATGTGCTGCTTGCAGCAGTGAACCCTTAAGCCTCTCAAACTGAAGAAATGCTCTGGGTGCCTCTACTGAGCTACAGTGCAGATATAACACTTACAAAACTGAGACTTGTGTAATGCAGCTAAAAAAAAAACCAAACCAAACCAAAACAACAACAACAAACAACAACAAAGCAGAAAAAACACAGTTCCAGCTCAAACGTTGTTAATACATTGGAACACATCTTCAACAGGAACTATCACTTTGTAACAAAGTAACATTTTAATTTTTTTAAACAGTCTGCATTGATAACATCAACATTTAATCTCATCACAATTCAGGAAGTCAGAATTCAGCAGTCAGAAACCTGGGTTAACAGCGGCGACACATTCCACGTTCACACTGTAGGCACAACACAAGGAGGAAGTGAAACCTCTCCTCTAACCAGATCAAGAAAGTCACTCATCCAAATGCTAAAACTGCACTTAAAGTATTAAGCACTTCCTATTCAGTCATCCTCCCCCAGATGCCCTGAGTAAGGTAAAACACATGCATACTTCTCACTTAAATCTTTTAGAATCAGAAGGGAACAAACCAGAAGTGGACTATTTCACAGAAAATTACAAGAAGCGATTAAAGTATTAGGCACATATGTCAAATTTGTCCTAGAAAGCCCTCAATGAGAAATAAACCATGTCTAAGTCCACACTGTTCTCCTTTTTAGTTGTCTTACAACACAGTTTCAAGCCATGTCTGAGAACAATTATGGGGAAAACAAACCAGCTTTCAAAAGACCTATCTTCAGATTTAAAGACTTACGATAACATATTTGTTTTCTAAGTGTAATGCACTGTTAACACAGAATTAAAGATACCTTTCTCTAAATCATGCCAGTATGTATACTTGCTTAAGTTCCAGTTATGAGTCAATAGAAAAAAGGCCACTGAAAAACATACTTTTTTCCAACAAAACATTTCTCAAAACAGTCTCGTTTTTCAGCCACATCTGAATTTGATTCCCTCTCCCCCTGCCCCACCCTTAAGAAAAGGCATCTCCTCATTTTTCAGTGTGTCAAAAGAATTAAAGCCTGGATTCAAAGTACCAAAAATGAAACATAATACAGCAAGGTCATTCATTACAATCTAAGGGATATTATAACCATCTGAAAACCAGCATCAAGCAAATACATTTAAGACTTAAGGTGAGGAAAGAAAAAAATAAATCCCTAGACACATGAGTAGGAGAACTGAAGACAGGAGACTAAGTACCTGAGAGTCACCATCTCAGATTAAGTATAACCATTACTGTTCACTTTGCATGAAGATTTAGATTCGAGGTGAGGACAAAGCAACCTCTTTAATGAAGACTGTAGGGTAAATCCTTCTACACTCCCCTCTAGAGAGCAAACATTTCTGCACTTGGGAATTGCTGTCACATTACACTACTGGATATTAACAGGATGACAGAAGGCAAACTTGTCCTTTCTGACTGAGCATAACAAAAAGAGAGACACCATTCACCCAGTAACAGGCAAGGGGAGTTAACTCACATCTCTCTAACCACAGAGGCAGACACAGCTACAGGAGGTGTTTTTATACATGGCCTTGCAGAACACCACAGCATTATCCTGATCACTCTTCCCCACATACAGCACAAGAGCTCTTGTGAGCACTAAGTAGCCCTAGCAGATATCTTCACAAATACAAGATGAAAGCAAAAGGAAACATGGATGCTAACTTCAGTTGACCCCAAGCGATTTAAGGCATATTACCTGAGCTTCTGAGCTTCTGTAAGAATGGCTTTTACAAGTCATATTAAGGCACTTTTCTCACACAAGCACTCTCCACAAAACTTAGGTCGGCCCCAAAGAGGCTCCAACAAGTAATTGAAGCTCTTTTCACCACTTTAGCTGTCAGGTAGGCTTTGCTTTGCCACAGATACCACAACAATCATTGAAATGTTGATCAAGCAAACATTAAAACTTGTGTATAAGTTGCAGGATGATGCAGTTTCACATTCACAGTCAATGTTCACATGTTATTTTTACTTCCTCCCAATGCAAAAATAGCCAAAGCTGAATCAAAACACAATGATGATGCCCCTCCTTGCCTCCAAATGTACAAATAACATAAGGTACTTTGGTTTGACTATTTGCACAAAAGCTATGCATTACATGCAGCAGCAGCTGCTTACAGTCTTATACAGGCTAGAGAACTCCACTGAAGCAACACCATGAGTCAGAAGTAGACTACAGGGAAGTAGCAAAATTCGGTCTTATCAAATAGTTGGTCTTTAGCAAAAGCGCTTCTGGTTCTACACAAATGATTCACACTACGTTGGTCCAATGTATTTGCACTGCAAAGACTACATCATCTGTACACCATATAAATACCAGAGACTGGGTGTAAAAGTATTTTTAAATTGGAGGTAATCAATATATTAAAAAGCATCTCTTCAACCCATCTACTATCATGAGGCAGACAATACCTTCATCATTTTTTGGTCATTTAACCAGATATACATACTTCCAGAGATACACACATATGCATACACATATACACACATGTATATACATATTTATATATATGTGTGTGCATATATATATTATATAATGAGGTAGTGATGTTACAGATGTAACTTGCCTGGGTGAGAAATGAAAGGAAGAGAACCAAAGGGATCTTCAGGAGGATTTTCCTGTGGAGCAGAATGTGGCTCCACATTCTTATCTGAAGATGTTCTCCTGTCCACCAGCCTGTCTGTAAAAAACAAAATGAAACAGAACAAAAAAATAAAATAAAATAAAAATGGCAGATCACATGCCTAGGCAAAGTCAGCTACTCTGCAGGGTGAGGGAGGAATAAATTCTCAATTTGGATTTTTTTTATTTTCCTGAAGATACCTTATACCATGAATACATATTTCTTGATGACTCAGGAACATTCACCTGCACGGACATATTGCCAATCTCCCTGTCCCACCAAGAGCAGCACGTATGTGGTGATAGAATGCTTTAAATTAGGACATCTGATACATGTTATATGCAGCCTATGCTCTTTGTAATAGGAACTACTAGTCCTCTGTGCTCTTGTGGTTTTTAAGTCACAATCACTACGTTCATGTAAAACAAAATCAGTTATTTCATCCAGGCTTTGGCCACCCTTTGTCACAAAAGGATAAACTGACAAACAGCAAAACAGGGAGGATTACTTTTTATTAAAGACATAACATCTGTTAGCTATTAAAAACAATCTGAGTGGCACATCACAGAAAGAAATGTAGTGTCTGTTTTGCATGGTCTTCAATCCTCAGGGAACTGATTTTTTTTTTTTTCCTTTTTAAAAACCACATTTCTTTTCAAAAGAGACATAAAACATATTTTAAACACAGTCAAAACTATTGGAAGGACTAAGAATGGGCAATACAAGTATGTCTGCCTAAGCTTTTATCCTAACATCGCTGCCAACTTAAGATCCAGACCACCCAGTGCAACCACTACACTGCAGCCCAGGAAGGTCCAAGCAAAGCCCATCACTTAACACCACCACTGTCACATGGTCTTCCACCTTCAGCTAACATCTGACATCCTCCATGCAGAATCACAGAATCACAGAAGACGCAGCATTTCTCTTACCCTTCTTTCCACAGCAAGCAGCTGCTCTTCCAAACAATTTGCAGTGCAAGATTCTTGAAAATTTGCCTTTATGGAGATGTCACTGAGCTATGCCCTAACAAAGTACCCAGCTACCTGCATGTTTTCTGTTCAGTCCTTCAATGACCAGGAAGCTTTACCAAGACAACCACTAGGGACTAGACAACAAGCTCATCCATCTTAGACAGACGCCTATTAACCCTATGTACAAAGTCTGAAAGTTTGAAAGTTATGCACCAGTTTTCACAAGTAAGTGTTCTGTTCCTATAAAAGCATCTTCATGTGAATTGTCTTACTCTGAGCATACCGTCAGACTCCCCAAAGAAATACAAGGGGGAATTGTTCCATTACCAGCAACTCTTGCTTAAAATGTAACCCCAGCTGGGGTCTCCTAGTGCAAGAGATGAAGTAGTTTTTCTCACCTCAACATACACACATTGAAAGAGGTAGAGACTAACTGACCTGAACAAAATCACCCTGCAATGACACAGCCATGCAGGAGAGAGTACTAGCCAAGGTGCACAAAACCCAAGCAGCTCTATGTTTTATACCATCTGCTCGCAGCCTTGAGGACAAACAGCAGCCAAGCATCACATCCAACAGCAGTACTCATTCCCAATTCAGAACAGTCGTACCCACGTTGCTTCCCTTCCTCACGGAGGAAAGATTTGGGTTTGTTGGAAGAAAACCACAAAAAAATGAACCTACAAGTATTTAAGGTTGGGGTGTTTTTTGTTTGTTTGAAGGGGTTGCTTTCTTTGGTTTGGGTTTTTTTAATTTGTGACTTAGGAAACATGTATATGACTTGAAACTTGCATCTTTACAAACACAGACTGAGCAAGGGATGGTTTTGTTTTATTATCCCTCCTGTCCTGCCTCCAAAGGTAAACCAGCTGACTGCTGCACAAATTGCAGGCAATCTCATTTTACAGTAACTTTTAAGGGTTCAACAACTTCAGTTACCTTTTGGGGAGTCCCTGCAAATGCTAGCATGTAAAAGTATGCAAATTCAAGCCCCAAAAGGCTGATTGGATCTCCCACCTTGAGGAGCAGAGTTATGGAGAACATAAGCCATGATATAAGGGCTCATAAATTCCAGAACATTGCTCTGGAAAACAAAATGTATTGAAATGCTAAAGCACACAAGAAAAAAATAGGTCGAGTAAATACAAGGTTTCAACTCCTCCGCAGCACCTGGGCATGCACCTACTGGCATATATCTCCCTGGAAAAAAAAGTTTAAAATGTCTCAATTCATCAAATCTATGGCTATTGGAAAAGGATGAGGCATTTTTCCAGTCTTCAGAGGCTCAAATGTCAGTTGTTCACCTCACAAGATCCATTTCTCTTGGTAAGAAAGTGAGGAAAAAAAAAAAAAAAGACAGCGATGGTTTCTTCAGCTCCACAGAAGCAGAAATAAATTCAGTGGCACTATCAGTATTAGACATAATTGTGCTTTAGATTAAACCTCCTTAAAATAAAGCTTTTTTGCCCCCTCAGTGCGTGATCACATGAATGCAGCCCAGACTGCCACCAAAGACACAATCACATGTCTCTTGGCACAGCAGACCCTTCCATAGAAAACAGTTATTTGAAACCACAAACAAGCAATCCAGCTATTCCCATACAAGTTGCATGCCCAAGGTGGCTCAGGAAAACAGCTCTCAGGACTTTCTGAAGTACGAGATGCACCTGTGTGTAGATAAAGCCTGGTAAATACCAGAGCTGCTTGCTGCATGCTGCATGGGTAGCAGAGGTAGTTCTTCATACTGTACATACTACAAAGAGCTTAGTAGATTCTGCACACTCAGGCATCTCTGCTGAAGCACCATGATGGATCTGGGCCTCCCAAGAACTTTTGTACAATTCTGTGTGAAGGCTGTGCTAGTACTTTTTCTCAGAGAGAAATAAGACTCATTTTCTTGGCTCCCAAATCTGCGGATTACTACATGGTTACTGGAGCTCTTTGTAAGAAATCCACTTCTTCACAATGTTGTCACTTCTGGACCATCATTAACACTGATAATGGTGACAAGAACAGCAGAGAACCAACAGTGTACTCAAGAACAGGAACACCATCCTGTAACTTTGTATCAAAGCTTTCCACAAAAGTGATCAGTTGAGAAATCTTCATCCAACTGCACATGAAATTTCACCACAACTGTTACCTTTTAGTAGGACAACTTTCATGAAGCACAAGCAAGGCATTCCATTCTGTGAGCTAGCTATCTTTTTAAAGAAAAAGTGCAACACAGCACTTCTCACTCACAGCAACACCCATCACTACCCACACTATGACATTAAGCTACTCAATGCATGAAATCCTATGGTCATGTCAGCCTGAGAAGTTACAATGACATCTTCATCCTCTAATAAAGGCCATGTATATTTGCTTATTCATGTCTTACTGTCATGAACATAACAGCTTTAAAAACATTTGACAGATTTAAAAATATTTTTAATTTACACACAAAGCGCCAGCTCAGCAATACAAACCAGACTTTTGAAAGTGGAAAAAAAGGACTGATGTTTTGAATGCTACTCAGCAACACATAACACCGCAAAAAGACAAACCTACATAAACTATACATGAGTTATAAGGTCTGAGACAGTAACTGGGCTTATTAATAGCAACTTATCAAACCTGTGTCTTCAAGTTTCCTTCCTCTAGATGGCAAAATGATTCACAGAAAACTCAAAAATTGAGAAAAAAAAAATTACTTAATTTTAAACAGCAGTTTTCTCTCATATGAGAAAAGCCACATCTAAAGGGAATTAGGCCTTGACCATTAAGATATATCTGAGGAAATTCAAGGATGTATTATACAGTTCAAGACAAATTCATAGTTCTTAACAGTACAATACATATCACAATTTCTCATTAATCCTTAACCCCCTAATAAATCTCCCCATTTCTCAAACTTAGGTGGAATAATAAGAAAGTACCAGTAGACTAAAGTATAAATATTTCTGCTTTGACCACAGCAGAGGCATTAACACTGCAAAGCACATTCATACAATCTTTGGCACAACATCCTTAATATAAAAAAAACTTTCTATGTTTAAAGGTCTTTGAAGTCTCTGATGCACATATTTATGTGTACACACAAACCCACATAGACTGAGATTAGAATTAGCAATGCTCTCCTTCCCGGACCTCTAAGAGATGAAGCTAAAAGGCCTCAGAAAAGCTGTAGCTCTCTCACATCATGTAGAAACAAGCCTGCCATCTAGTGTGCTATGGGTCAAGTGAATTGTAGTTTTACATCTTCTGTGTGCAAGTGACTAAAAAATCCTAATGCTGGTTATTATTAAGTGAAACCACGCTGTTACAACTTGCTTTTCTGATACAGTATATAAAGTTCACTATCACATCCAGCTCTTCAGTGTATTGACTTATCTTTACTAAGAGGTGAGCCAAAAACGTGCCCAGGTAGATTCAGTCTTTAGAAAATTCAGACTGTGTTTACTCATGCAGTACAGAAACTGGGTAATGGAGTGAAAGTGGTACCTAACAGGTGTTTCCACTGGAGTTTTAAAGACAGCAGTTAGCAGCATTGAGCTCCAAGTTTTTCTAGCCTTTATTATATCTGTAACTGTCCACATGCAATTCAGCAGTTTCCCAAAAAGGGTTGTCAAGGCCTGGCCCAGGCTGCCCGGGGCAGTGGTGGAGTCCCCATCCCTGGAGAGGTTTCAAAGCCATGGAGATGTGGTGCTGAGGGGCATGGTTTAGTGGTGACCTGGCAGTGCTGGGTTAACAGTTGGACTCAATGATCTTAAAGGTCTCTTCCAACCAAAACAATTCTATGATTTTCTATTTCTCCAGTTTACTATAACCAGCCTACTGAGCTACTTGAAGCAAGCATATTTCTTGTATAATATTTTCCAGCTATTTTTGTAAAGCCATTTGAAATATGTCCTTGGTTACTATCTTTTTTCCATACACATATTTGTTCAAAACATGGCTTAACTGGATCAGCCTCAAAAAATTAACCATAACTTCAGTCAGCTGTCCAACAGTCAGTTAAATATTCTTGAAGCGAGTAATGTGCTGATCTTTTGGTTCAAGCTAACCTTCTCTGGGTTCCAGAGTGTATTGCTTCAAGTGACTTCTAAGGCTGCAATTTGAAACTGTATGCCTACAAAATATAAAAATTCTACTATTAAGTTGAAATTCTCAACTGGGATTTGGAAATAGTGCTTAGTTTTCAGCTGACACATTAACCATTTCCCCTACGGAGAAGTAAGGCATTTTACTGTAAAAGGTGGGCAGGCCACATCCACATCTCAAAAATAGGGGTCTTACCTCATCAACTCAAGATACGAGTAGTTGATTGTTTTCAGAGTTTCACAAAAAAAACCCCACACCCAAACAGTCAATTCAACCACTCCTTAGTCCTTGAGGATTAACAGTAATGTGCACATCATGTTTAGTTATATTCAAGGACACAGAAACTGAAGACTCAATTGAAGGCAGAGGTGTTTTTTGTTTTGTTTTGTTTTGTTTTGTTTTGTTTTGTTTTGTTTTCTTCCCAATCCATTGAAATTCAGCTTTACTGCACTTTTAATTGCAAGGAACTTGCTGATAGTCAGCCAAGTATATACAATCTGGTTACTGACATTGTCACATCTTACAAGTGTCACTAATAAATGTGATCTTGACAAAACCAGTTTTAAGAAGAGCATCTAATGAGCACATGTTAAGCAATTAAGAAAAGGAAATCATTCCAAGTAAAAAACATTGAGATAACTGACTTCAAGAGCAAAAAGTTTATTCAACTACTGACATATCAGAACAATAAAGCAGCCCTTACATGTAGCCATTCATCAAAAGAGACAATACAAAACATTATGTTAATGTAATCAATTTTCTTTCAGGCGTTTTCAAAGGACATATCAGATCCACAGAATCTTCTGCTCTATGTGTGTAAGAAATAAAGACGGAAAGAAAAAGCAAACAACCAAACTTCTCTTCCTATCAGACAATGTACCTCTGTTGTTCAGAGCCTCCTGACAATCCAGGTGACAAGCAATATTTAAGAGCCAAGATATCACCATTTCTGCGGTATTTGAGCCAGTAATTACCAATTTTAGACAGCAAGTTCCTATTGCACACATTTTCAGAGAAGGAAAAGAAAGAAGACAGGCCCAACTCTGCCCTTCAACGCTCAGAAAGAATTCTCTGTTCACAGACTGCACAGCCCTTCCACAAGACAGGTGTTGAAACTACAGAGCACTTATTTAGTGTGAAGCAAAATAAGCCTTCAAGTGTCCCTTACTTGATCTTAGCAGGTCAAATTCTCTGTCCAGCAGCTCCTCCTCTGTCAGCTTGGAGAAATTGTCCTCTCCAAATGGGTTCCAGCCTGACATATCAGGTGGGTTATTGATGCTCTGCTTTGGGTAACTGGAGATTGATTCTGCATCAGGAATACCTGACCTGTAAAGTCAGTTCATGGAGGCAAATAAAGAGAAACATTACAGGACAGTTCATCAAGGTGAAAATCTGTGACAGACTTCATTATGCCAAAATTCTAGATACAAGTAACACATGCATTAACAGCTTATGCAAAAAGCATCTGAAAGCTAGTTTAAGGGAAAACAGATTACTTGAAACAAGTGGTTTGATCACAACATTTCTAATATGCAATCTTTGGACTTATTTTTCCATGCATGAACTGTAGCCAAAACACGGAATCCTTCATTAAGGCAACATGCAAGAGCAAAAACTATATCTGACCTATGGCCATTTCTGTATTGTCATAGGACACATCCTCATTTTCATCAAAAAATAAAAGCCTACTAAATATGTTCGAATTTTTCATCAGCTCTCTTTATTTGCAAATTATTTTTTCCTGGCAGACACAAAGTGTCTTTGAATCCTACATCTAACTGATACAATTAACCTAACCAGATGACATTTTAGCAAATTATTCCTACCACTTCCCTGTTGGTCTGAAGTGGACTAGAAAAGCAGCAATCAGCAGGTCCGTGTGTGTTAACTGTTTCTCTCCCTGTACCCAGGCAGGCTCTGCAGGCTGCACCATCAACCCAGTTCCATGTGGAACCATCTCTCCAAGACAAAAGAAAGGGGAAAGGGCTTGGGCTCCTTCCTCTCAGCTTGAGTGCTGCCATCCCACAAGACCACTGTACTCGCTCTTCCTACAGAGAGGAGGGCAACGTGCGATACAATGCAATGCATTTAGCTTGGCAAGCGAACAGAAACTCATCGCCACTTCCTTTAACACAATTTTTGTTTACAGAAACAACGCTATGCATTGCAAACCTACAGTCACTGACTTAAAGATAACCAGCAGGATCAAAATCTTCAGCCAAGAAAACAGAAATCAAACTGGAGGTATACATCTACTTCCACACCGGAATGATTCCTTTTAGAAATTCCTCGTGGCAAACATGCTCTGGCAATAGCCTTATAACCAATGAGCAGCTGGTAAGTCTCAGACAAGTGCACAGAAGCATGGGACAACTCTTTCTGCTAGGGATTAGACTACCTATTGGGCAAGATAAAGCCAAAATGGTCACTGTTACGTGATATCAACCCAGCCTACAGCAGGAAAAATTGTGTCTTTCCCTCTTTCAGCACACTGCAACCTAGAAAACACAGAATGACATCAGCACCTGCAACACCTAAGTCATGCCATTAACCAAAACCCTGTGTCAAGACTGACTGCACCAAAGACTGCAGCTTTGCCACAGCTGCCAAGGACTTCTTTCAATATTTGTAGGAACCTATGGAAATACATAACCTAGTTCATACCATTAGAGAAATTGGACAAATCTATGATTTCTAAATGAGAAAAGGAAAGGGTTTTTCTTCCATGCTGTGTTTTTTTAAGATTTCATAGTGTAATCGTTACTTATTATACTTCCTTAAGCAAGGGTACGTCTGCAGGCCCCTGCAAAGGGACCATATCACTGAGGAGCTGCACTCTATCATATAACATACTGAGATCAGTCCACTGATCAACAGCCAAAGGAGTTACAAGCCCTAGCAGGTAACATCAACCATAAAACTTCTCTTAAGAGAGTATTTGAGTTAACTTTTATATGCTCATAGCGTCATTCAACAGAGGCTACCGACAACCCTCGGCGAAGAGGTGGGCAGTCAGCTCCTGCTGTAAGTCCATGAAAAAGAAAACAGGGAAGACAGGTTCTTTAAGAAGGTGTCCAAGGTTCATCTGTTAAAAAGGGTCCCAGCTTCTTCCCAAAACATCCTTTACCATTAACAAGCAATTATCTAAGTGCTTTCAGCAATACCTTACTGTCAAAGCAATTAATTTCTGAGGGAAGCATTTAGCAGTGCTCATCACCATTAGGCACGCAAGCAGCAAGTAGCCCTCGGGTACATCTGTGTCCGAGTACTTGCCTGCTTGCAGGGTAGGGGGGATCTGCCACTGTTCCAGCATGCACTGGGACTGACCCAGGGTAGGAGATGAAGGCTGGTGAGAAGTCTTGTGGAGAAGTGATATATTCAGGAGACTGTGCCTGTTGAGACCGCTGTTGCTGCTGAGCAAGCATGTGCTGGTGTAGGAGAGCCTGCTGATATTGCTGCACCTAAGAAGAGAACCATCATGTTACTAAAATTCACACAGGCCAACATGAATCTCTTCTGCTACGTAACAGTATTGGTCTTGCAGCCAAATGCACTGACAACCACCATGCTCCAAAAAAGCCTGGTAGCTTCAGCAGAAGCCAGACCTGTCATTACAAGAATGAAAAGGAACTGCCTTCACAGGCCACCGATGCTGTTTTCTCTCTTCCCTCATATTACCACTTAGGTTGCAATAACTACAGAAAGCTAAGTATATACTATGAAACACTGGAAAATTAAGTTTTCATCATACCTTATTCTAACCTATTACTTATCAAAATTTCAGAACAATTTCTCCCAGCTTTTGAAAAACAGATTATGTCAGTTTGCTTTCTTGCTTCTGAAGAATTCGATGCCACTATCTCTCTTTGTGACATAACATTCTTGTTGCGGTGTCACTGTTGGAAACCAAGTAGGTTTCAAATCAGCATACACCTACTTAATGCATTTTAGGACATACCCCAGCTAATAAATACAGAAATGCAACTGCAGATAAGCTTTCCAAACAAACTGGGGTTAACCTATTTTTTCCCCAACCAAATATCATTTTAGTTTCTGAACTCAACACTGTTTACCGTGTCTACAGCTCATTAAAGCTACTCTCAAACTTCTCTTACTACATCTGCACAAAAGACTTACAAACAGCATGTATTTTTAGGCTGTACTGTCTACTTTCCATCCTTGACATACCATAGCGGGATATTGAGACTGGGGAGGTTGCTGCTGGTACACAGACTGCATCAACAGCTGCTGCTGGACCATCTGGTGGTGCATTGCTTGTTGGTACTGTAGTTAAAAAGAAAGTAACAGCTTTAAGAAGTCATGAACCCTACTTCTGGAATATCCAGATATATTTAAAAGAAGCACCAATTAAACCATCACTTCTGTGACTCAGCAGTATTTCCAGTTATGACATCACATAACCAGCAATCAGGTTGCAATGCAGTCACTGCATTTTAATGTCTCTGTCTCCTAGTCTGGGGTAGAACAGAACTAATTCTGTTCAGTGATTTTACTTTTGAGTTAAAGCTCTTCTAACCAACTGCTCTTTCTGAAAGCATATTTTTGCAGACAGTGTCTGCTTCCAGCAGTGATAACACTCCATGTTTAGAGTTACCACGAAGGACTGGTGTGCAGACCAAGGTCACTGCTAAATCCTGTGTACCACACTGAGGAGGGCAGAAAGTAAAGGTTGCACCTGCAGGGAGGAGTGGAGAGGATAAATGACCCTAAATTCACCAATGGGGTATTCCATCCCATATCCGTCATATTCAGTGTAAAGCTGGAAGATCATGAGGCTCAAGCCCCTTCCTTTCTCCCTTTTGCTGCTTCTTCAGTGGGCAGCATCTGAGGAGGACTCCGTCCATTCCCCCTTTGATCCCGAGCCCCGTGTTCCTGAACCCAGTTCCAGAAGACTCCAGCTCCTGTACCCTGTTGCCACCTGCTGGCTGAGCCCAATCTGGCACTTTTCCCTGGGGCCTGCTCCACAGCATCAGGGGTGACAGTGGTGTACTGCCATCGGCGGGAGTTGGGTTCCATACTAGCTTTGTATATATTTGTATATATTCCATATTGTTGTTACTAATAGTATTGTCATTAAAGCTGTTTTACTTCTCTAATCAATAAGTCTCTCCCTTATTCCCTTTCTCTTCCGCTTTGCGGGAAGAGTGTCTGTTACAAGTCTGGGGGCAGCCCAGACTCTAAACCCTGATGCTCTCTGTGTTTGGCAACTTATCCTGTCTGGTTTTGTGTGTCACCCCCCCCCTCCAGTTAATAGCAGCCTGTTTAACAAGAAATTAGACTAGCTGTTCAGCACTGGCTTTAAGGATAGTCAATTGACATCTCAACTTCTGCCATTTTCAACAGCTGCTTTGGAAAATATTTCAGCTGTGCTTTAAAGGAAAACATGTCTCAACACGGGGGAAAAAAAAAATAGGAATAGCAAAAGGTTTCTTGGACAGGAGCTGAAAGTTCTTGGCTGCTCTTCTGTTATATTTACTGTTATTTATGCTATGCAACTTAAGTGATTATACTTGACAGTACACAAGCTAGCAGTGTTAGCATACAAGGTATACGTGAGAAATCTGGATGAATGGAACAACTACAAGAACTAGGTTCTTCACTGAAGAAAGCAAAAACTGCAAAAATCCTGCTCAGATGGCATATGTACAGCCATGAACTGCAAGCACAGTATCATCACCTAGATAATGCATGATGTTTACCTCAAGCCCATTTACACAAAGGGAAAAACTTATTTGGGACACACAGTGGTGATAAAAAACAAGCTAGGATTCAGGGTCAAGCTGCACAGTACAAGACAGCATGAAGAAGGCAACTTTCTAGAATAAGCACTACAGTGCCTATGAAGAGATAATCCAAGTGTAAAAAGAAGGGACAAGAGCCACAGTCCTGTTCTGTCTCTTCGCAGGAAAAAAACAAGCCATAACAGCAGAAATTATAACAATTGCAAGCATTATTAACAAGTGTAACATGTCTTTCAGGAACTTGTCTAACAGTTTCAACTGGTACCTGCTGAATGTAAGTGTCCTGCACCATAGGCTGCTGCTGGTGGTGGTGATGCAGGTGGTGTAGCTGCTGCAGTCTCCAGTCGCCCTGTTGCAGCTGCTGAAGAACTCTGTTCTGCTGCGGGGGGTGCTGGGTGGTCCCTTGGGATGGTAAAATTTCTTGTCCGTTCCCTGGTCGCGTGGTTCCTGTGACATTCAGAAAACACTGTTGACGTACCAATCTCTACAGTTCAGGTAAAGAGTCTAACTGCCAGGAAGCTCTCTATTTAACAACTCCAGGTAAAACAGATTATAAACTTCCCTTCCCCATCTGACAAGTAGTACAGCTGGCAGATACTCAGTTCACTTCTTCAAAAATATTCCCACTCACAAGATGCGAGAAGCTTCCTTGATCTCACAACAGAGGAAGCTGGGTTCTAGACTTCTGCTTTACTAACACTTAAGTGGTAGCTTCTATATCTCAAACTCTAACTCTCAAAGTATATAATTTTGTATGCATACAATGCATACTAATTACTTATTGAAGGGAACTATTGGCTCACTTGTCAAATTCCTTTAAACAGAACTTCTGACCAATTTCGCCATTCAATTGTTTTTGCAGCCTTTTAATTAAGTAGTTACTAACATAAATCCTCTCTTCCACATGGTCTTTATATTCTCAAGTGCCCAGGAGTTATCTGTTCCTTGTCTTAACAGACTTTCTAAGTTGGATGTTACTTGGATCCTGTCTAGTAAATCTGGGACACAAACATCCTTAGTGGCCTTCTGACTGGAGGCCTTCCCAAAAGAAAGGTTACCTTTTGGCCCACGATTACCAAATTCACCAGGAACTTGCACTTTGACTGGAGTTGCTGAGCTCTGGATCGTCAGCACACTTGAAGTGGCAGTGTTCGAATTGGCCTTTGGTCTTTGTCGTGGTGCAATTGAGGTTTCTGTTGGTCCAACAGTGTCTGTTATTCTGAAATGGCAAGTTTTCCCATGGAAGAGATTTGATAAAAAAAGACTGGTTCTTCTTCAAATTAGATGCAGTCTCTCTCTTAACAGCTCAATTACGCATGCTATCAGCTGCAGCAGAGCCAGCAAAACCAACCACATCCAGACCATGGCATTGCCTTAAAATGACACAGGCACATCAAAATAGCTCCAACGCGGCTTAGATGAGCCCGCCCACCTACTTCTCATTCGCAACAGGCTATCGAAGTCAAAGTTATGATAGAGCTGGTAATTATAACTGAATATAAAGCTACCCAAGTCCCACACATTCATAGATTCACATCCCAAACAACTTCCATTAATAAGGGATAAAAGTGTAAAGGATTCTTCCAGTATTAGCATTAAGCATACACCATGCACCCCAGCAGAGGTAACGACTGTGGGAATAACTGTTCACACTTTTGGTTGGTTTTATTAATACATAGAAAAAAAGGAATGTTTTCCTACAAAAATAGTAATTTTTGAAAGAACAAAACACACTTGACTTCATCAGTCAGACTTGATCATCGCATTTAAATAAAGCTCCTAAGAATAGTTTACCTGAACCACATCATCCTTGCCTGTGACTGTTTTTTTTTTGTTTGTTTTTTGGTTTTTTTTTTATTTATTTATTTCAAAATTCACTCATCACACTAGGAGAAAATAAGGCCAATCAGAAACTGACTGCTAGCACGAAACAGGCTCTCAGTTTCTCCCTATGGAGCCACAATAAAAAGGAAAAACATGCAGTGGAATCCAAAGAGAGACTTAAAGCTCTCAGAAATGCAGTTTATTTTAATGACCTCTGTACTAATATAATTTTTCATTTATTAACAAGCATATGAGAACAGGTTTCAGACAAACATGTAGCTTAACAACATTAGCAAAAAAAAGAAAGGGAATTGACATCTGCCACTCACCTTGCTTTTATTTGGCTTTTTCTAGCAGCTGCCTCACTAGCTGTCATGGGTTCAGGAAGAGTTGAAGGAATAAGAGAATTCTTGGGAAAAATAAATTTGAATATATTAAAAAAAATGAAATCTTGAAAGAAAAAAATCATTATATATTGAAGACAAGTACTTGGGTTTACATTTTCCATACCGCAAGGCTTCATGCACAACTCACACAGCTGTAGAGGAAAAGCATTTTAATTCAGCAGTATTCTTGAGATCTCTTAATCCATTGCAAAGGTGCAACAAAAGCAAGGCTAGTCTGACCTGCCAGCTACTTCAGCTCATTTAGGCACTATCAACTCCCAAATAAAACATTTTCTCCACATGGTTTCTCATAACTGTACTAGAGACTTCATTTAGCCTCAAGCAACTAAAACAAAGCCTAACCTTTGGATGGAACAACAGCAGCTTTTTCACTCTCTCAGGTCTCTCTGTCCCCACGTGTCCCAGGACAAGCTGGCGGGGAAAATGGCCACTGTGGCTGAACAGGGAGCTTTTGCTAGAACTCAGGAGGAAGAGGAGAATCTACAACCTTTGGAAGAAAGGGCAGGCTACTCAGGAAGAGTATATGGATTTAGTTAGGTCACATAGGGAAAAAAAAAAAAAAAACATTATGGGGGCAAAAGCTCAGCTGGAACTCAGCCTGGCCACTGCTTCAACAGATAATAAAAAGTGTTTTAACAAACATATTAACAACAGAAAAAGGCCCAGGGAGAATCTCTCCGTCCTTTACTGGATGCGAGGGGGAACTCTGTTACTAAGGCTGAGGAAAAGCTGAGGTACTGAATGCCTTCTTTGCCTCAGTCTTCAATAGTCAGTCCAGCTACCCTCATGGTATTCAGTCTCCTGAGCTGGAAGAAGGGGATGGAGAATAGAACGATCCCCTCATAATCCAGGAAATAGCAGTGAGGGACCTGCTAAGCCAGCTGGACTGCCACAAGTCTATGGGGCCAGATAAGATCCCCAAGAGTGCTGAGGGACCTGGTGGAGGAATTTGCCAAGCCTCTCTCCATCATTTACCAGCAGTCCTGGTTAACGGGGGAGGTCCCAGATCACTGGAGACTTGCCAATGTGACACCCATCTACAAGAAAGGGCAGGAAGGAGGATCTGGGGAACTACAGGCCTGTCAGCCTGACCTCGGTGCTGGGGAAGGTTATGGAACGGTTCATCCTGGGGGAGATAATGCAGCAAGTGTAGGACAACAGGGGGATCAGATCCAGCCAACACAGGTTCACGAAGGGCAAGTCCTGTCTGACCAACCTGATCTCCTTCTATGATCAGGTGACCATCTAGTGGATGAGGGAAAAGCAGTGGATGTTGTCTACCTGGACTTCAGGAAGGCATTTGATACCATTTCCCACAGCATTCTGCTGGAGGAGCTGTTGGCTCATGGCCTAGACAGGTGGACTCTTCATTGGGTTAAAAACTGGCTGGATGGCCGAGCCCAGGGAGTTGTGGTGAGTGGAGGTAAATCCTCAGGGCTCAGTTTTGGGACCACTCCTGTTTAATGTCTCTATCAATGACCTGGATGAGGGGATCGAGGGCACCCTCAGTAACTTTGCAGACAACACCACGTTGGGTGGATGTGTTGATCTACTTGAAGGTAGGGGAGGCTTTAGAGAGGGATTTGGACAGGTTGGATTTACGGTCCGAGCAAGGTCAACTGTATGAAGTTTATCAAGGCCAAGTGCTGGGTCCT